GCAGGTAAAAAATAAAGAATATATAAGAGGTTTATTTGCTTTTTTTATTTATATTTTTTATTATCACTAAATTCTTGAAACCAAAAAGTAGATCATAATAAAGGTAATAACTTGTACTTTCTATATAATATAAATTTTTTTACCGTTAGTTATGGCCGTTTCTTCAAAAAAGGTTATTTCATGAAAAAAATAACATTTGTCCTTTTTTAGTGGTTTTGGGTTAAAAATATAAAAAAGCATATAAATTGTGTATAGCTGTACAGTTCCCTTTAACACTAGTTGGAACAAGTTATCCATAGCCATGTAGAAGCCTATATTTTTCTTAGCACGCATGCCAAATTTCAAGTTGATATATCTTAAATTATGGCCTTTCACTTTTACCTCAATCAAGCAAATATAAAAGAGCTCCTCGTGCAATATGTCACTTAAGTTGAAAAAAGATGCCTTTGAGCAAAAAATGGGCAAGATTTAATTTTTTAAGTCTGTTCTATGAGTATGTACTAAGGCATCTAGTACCGGATTTCGGGATCCCGAATCCCGGGAGTCCCCAGGCCTTTTGCGAGTACCGAAATCCAGGGATAAAGCCCTCGGGAGCCCGGGAAATAATTTAATTTACGACCAAATTAAAATAAAACGAAATTGAGACACTGTAATGACATAAAAGAATTATAAAATGCAACCCTATAAATAATCAAATAATAGGGCTATTCGCGATCCGGTGCAAATGGCCTAGCATCATTGCATTGCAAATTTGTATTGCAAATTATTTGCAATACACAAACAAAATACACGCATTTGCATTTGTCATGGCTTGGCAAATTTGCAATACCGAAAATCCATAGCATAAAAATGCTATGCATTGCATTCATAAAGAAAACCAAAGCTGATGCGCAAAAATTGTTTTGCAAAAGCTTTACCATGACAGTTTAATAAAGGTCGCTCACAATCCATGGCATATTTCTGCAATTGCATAAATTTGTCAGCTCTTATGCACCGAATCGCGAATAGCCCTAATATATTACAATTCTAAAGCTACTATTCTGTAATATATATAACATATATGAGGCATTCTTTTTCATTTCGAGCACCAAATTTGGTATCACAATCTCGATTGGCTTCACATTTTTCCTTTTTTCTTCGGATATATGATAAAATTTTGGATTTTTTTGTGATTCTGACTAAATAATCATGTACTTCTTTAAATTTTTATATCTCGGGTTCTATTCGTCGTAGAGACTTCATTGTTGACCCTCATAAAGTAAACCACCTCGTCATAAAAAAAATATTTTCAAAATAGTTCTTGAAAAACTTGGTACAAGTTTTTTATAGAGAATTAAACAAGGATTACGATGGTCTTCACTATGCAAATCAAGTTAAAAAAAAAGTTAAAAGTTCAAATGTTAATAGCTAGGTTAACTTTAGGACAGTCAAAACCATCATATAGAAGTGATAAGCCCGCTTCATTGTCTTCAAAACGACGTTAAGATGAAGCCTCTATAATTAGTACAGCCTGAGATGTAACGATTTGAAGAAGTACATGAATGGTCAGAATCACGAAAAAATTCGAACTTTGACAGATCATATCTCCGAAGAAAAAAAGAAAAAAAAAAATTCCTGGAATACGTGTTAGCTTATTTCATATATAAAACCCATAAACAATTTGAAGCGAATCAGAGACATGACATAATTTTTTTTACGAAATTTGTCCGACTTGTATATATAAGTATGTTGCGGCATACTAATTATTTTACACAATATGTGAATATGTACAAATACGATGATACAAAAAGAAGGTAGTTTCATTTCAAAATTTTTGACAAAAAATAAGTTTTTCAAGTTTCATAAATTATACAAAATTATGAGCTACCTTGCCACATTGATATCAATGAAACAATACATCAGAGGGTTTAATGTTGTGCGTTGGAAATGTTCGGTTATTTGTAAAATGATTTTTTGGTGGGGAGCGGAAACGGAAGGTGCATGTCACCAAAAACTTACTAGAAAGAGAACAGTATAAACTTTAAGATAATTCACCCTCGGGGCTCATTTCAAAATGGGGCAAAATTAGCATTTTCGCAAAGAAAAATTAAACTCGTGTTAGGCCATCAGCAGTGGGTACTCTTTTCCATTTTGGTAGCCTTTTCCGCGCTAGTTTAAATAACCTCATCAGTCCAACTCTGGTTCCGCCATCCACAGTATATTTGGGCAAAATTTACCTCCAAATGTACAAAAAAAAGTGCATATTTTAAACCGAAACCTTTGTTTTAACTTAAAGCTTAGTGCTTTGGCTAGACGTATATGTTAAAATTGTTTGATTCGGATCACGGGTTTGAACACGATAACCCAAAATCACTGTACAAATTAGGGATGTTGCGAATGTGGAATTTTAGACATCCCTGGATGCGAATGCGTATGCGAATATCTAAAAGCTAACAACCGCGGATGCGGATGTCAAGTATTTTTAAGAAACAATTAGAATCTAGCATAATGGCGAGATCGTTGTTTGAACAGCGCTTATAAAGCCAAACCAGATGTGTCAGGTTTTTCTAAAGCTTTTTAAAAATAGTTCTCCATTGTCATTCCTTTGGCTATTTCAGAATTTGGGGCATCTGTAACTTCATCAGCGTTTTTCGATTTTAGTTTTTGTAGTTCATTTTTAATACTTTCTTCTGCGACTGGTTTGAACAATCCGTGCCTATAGCGAGATAAATAGGTGGATATGGAAAATAAATTATTGTTTTCCTGGAATGAAAATTTTGAACAAAATTGTGTTTTCAAAGTCATGGCTGTCAGCGGAATCGGATAAGAACAGTGTTATTTTTTAAAAAAGCACCCCGTATTTTAAAAACATTTGAATCTCGGATGCTTACGTAATTCTTATCTTATTAAAGGTCAGACCTATATATAGTCTTTTAATTATTTGAGCATCGCTCCTCTTTATAGCCAGACGTTGATCATTGCTGCTGGAAATCCCTATTGAAGGAGCTTACTCTTTGACTTTAAATAGCAAAGAAGGGACAGTATATATTCATCCGAAAAAATATTGCCCGACAAGTAAACAAAATTACTGTTCTTTAATTTTTTGCTAACAATAAATTCCCCAAAGAGCCCCATTTGAAATTATTGAAACGAATATATGTAACATCAAAAGCAAATCACGAAAATTTGGTTAAGAATTACAGTGCACAGCTTCTTTTTTGTGTCTAGTAGTTTTTTTAAAATTGGTCCAAAAAAATAATATTAAAGAAAGAAACCAATGCAGGTATTGAAAGAAGAGAAAACAAAAAATATTGTTAAAAAGGCTAGGTTCCCTTTTACGTACGTCAAAGGTCAAGTAGAAGTTGGAACTTGCATGACTGCCCATTGATTGCTCAGTTATTTAGCTGAAGAAATAATAAGTTTAAGTACATTTTTGTCTAAGTTGATAAATATGAACAGTTTTGTTACACAAATACTCCCACGATCACAGGCAAAAATATTGGCTACAATTTGTCATTTTGTTTGCCATATATACGTTTTATCGGTACACCTGCACAACATTCGTATTCGCAAAAGCTCCGCATCGATTATTGCGAATGCGTATGTTAAAATTAATGCGGAAGCTCCGCAGTTGCGAATGCGAATATTCGCAACAACCCTGGTACAAATATCCGAACCGTAACCAAACTGTCTTACCTATGCCATTTTCTAAAAACAAAAACTTTCTAAAATGAAACTGCAGTAGTTTTCATCTTATGTGGATAATTCTTGTCACAAATACCTGGTTTCTTGCTTATATTTATGCATATATATTTTTGAGCAGCGCCACACCTTAACAGAAAATTCCGAGAATCCAAAATTGGTACTGTTACAAGTTGCATGGCATAATTTTAACTCGATCTCCACCCTCTTCCACGGATAACGGTACATCGGTTAGAGGTTTAGAAATATTTTGTGTCAGCAATTTGTCATCAAACTGCATTAAATCGTATTACGTACTCTATCCTCTATCCAAAAATTTTTATTTTCGAACGTTTGCACAGGTGTATCAAATTCCTTCAGTTTGAAAACGCGCTAGACTTTTTAATGTTTTCATCCAACTTCCCTAACTTAAAATTTTTTTTTTACTTTTTCAAGAAACAAAAATTTTTCTGCTAGTGAATCTGGTAGCATGGTTTTAATGAAATGAAATGTCATAAACTTATTAAAAGTCAAGTGGTCGGCAACAACAACGAATGTCAATAAATGAAACTACCTTCTATTTTTGTATCATGACAAATACTATAAGTAAGTGTAAAGATGATCTCGTATTTTTTACTTTTTGTAAAAATAACTGCGACTGCAATATGAATGAATTCCAATTCCATAGCTTTTAGTTTGTTCAGTTTGTATTAGCGTTTTAAACTGATATAAAATAAAGACATTTATATTTCTTTGCTTAAAAACACAAATTTATTTTTGTTTCTAGTATTCGCACTAAATGAAGACCACAAAACTAGTTTGTTAGCATATTTTAATTAATGGTAATAATATCCCGAAATATCCCGGGATCCCGGGACTCACAAAACGGTCCCTGATTGGATGCCTTAGTATGTACGCTCATCCCATGATAAAAACATTACAAAGTAAATTCATGCTCTCAATGCGTCGGCCATGATTTTTTCTGACGTTTTCAAGCATTTTAGAAACATATAAAATAGAAAATAAAAAAATTAAATTATTTCCAATTGTTGTTGTTTGAGATTGAAAATGAGAATATGTGTGTGAGTTTGATGAGTGTTGAATTTTTAAATTATATTGGTGGCGAACGTCAGACTGTATCTTAATGGTTTTACCTTGTTGTGTTTTTATCATGGCTCATCCTGTATGCTCTGTCACATCGAACTACGCCGAACTTTTAAATTATAGTCTATTAAAAATTTAATATTTTTGAAATTTGTCTTACCTTTTAGCTGATTATAAAATAATTTGATTAAAATATTTAGGTGCAAATATAATGTGTCGTAGAAAAAAATTTTAGTGGAAGTATTGAGCTCTAATACAAAAAAAACGCGCACAACTTCAACTTGATCACTCAAAGTTTTGTTATAGTTCCAAGCTTGCAAATTTGTTTTTGAATACTGTTCAATAGCACGTGGGGGTCTTTTCTAACAAACTACAAAATATGATAAATTTTCAAGCACTTTTTTTTCATTTTTGCGTCCTAGATAGACTAAATCTCACACTGTGCGGCATAAAGCTGTAGACCCCTCGCCTTACTGTGACAACATCAAGACGCACACGACGAATTGGAGGAAAAGCTCGGCCAAACACTTTGCAAAGGTGTAAGCGGCAAAATATTATTATAATACTATTTTAATATTTGCAATGATTAGGAAACACTTGGATTCAACATGGCGTATGAGTGATGTTTATCTGGTGATTTTTTTATACCGGAGCGCACTTGTGCACGAGGGTATTATAACTTTGTTCACATAACGGTTGTTTGTAACAACCAAAACGTATCGACATAGATATAGACAAATGTATACATATGAATGAAAAGAGAAATCGGTTTAGGCATGTCTGTCTGTCCGTCCGTCCGTCCGTGTACACGAAAACTCGAGCAAAAATTGAGATATCTCAACGAAATTTGGCATGTGGATTGCCCTTCACCCAAGGTAAGTTGGTATAGAAAATCGGACTGTAACCACGGCCACTTCCCAAATAACAGTAGTTTTCAGAAAAACTAAAACTGCGATATTTTAGTAACTACTGAAGCTTATTTACTGAGAATTGATATTTACAATGATTTTTAAATGTAAAATAAGAATATTATACATTGTTGGATATGATTACATGTGTATATCTTGGTAACCGCTACAGAAATTTCTCCCAAACATGGCTCAGTTGGAAAACGTAGCAAACGGCTGAAAATTTTTAAAATTGGACAATAACCACGCCCACATTTCATATAATGGAAATTTAGAGAAATACGAAATCTTCGATAAATCAGTAAATACAGAAGCTAATTCATTCAAAATTGATGTTTGCAATTGAGGTTTGAAAATGGACGTGGCACCGCCCAGGTATGTAATCCCGGTAACCGTTCGATGAATTTCTACCAAACTTGGTACGATTATTTCGCTTGCCACTTTCCATATAACGGTAAATTTCAGAAATTCTTGAAACTTCGATATTTCGAAACTTAAGGACGCTAATGTTCTCAAACAACTAAACTAACTAATTAATAAAAGTGTTTAAAACTAATTTATCGAACTTATAAAAATTGTGTTCTAATAAACTGATATTTTGGAACCTACCTACGAAATTTCAGTGAAATCCGACAAGATTTTATGAAAATACACCTACTTGTTTATAAAGATGCATTTAAAATCTGTAGTTTTCGGTAAACAAATAACAGCATTGAGCGACCTCTAAATCTTGTTCAAATAAGCTGAAATTTTAGAAAGAACTTGTCTTCCCTATTATCTTCAAGAATCCGAATGTTCCCGGTCGAAATTCAAAAAAGGTCCAATTTTGAATCACCCTAATGTACATACATATATATATGAATGGAAAGGTCTGTTGTTGTTGATGATGAGAACAAATAAAATAATGTTTTATAAATACTTATTTTTTAAACATAAATGTCCGCAATTATATGAATTATAGCTTTGCTGTTGATTATAGTTATAGTTAATGTTTTTCCCTAAATACTTTATTAATTGTTTAGGAGGCTGTAAGTTTCCAAAGCTATCGAAATAATCAATCTCATTATCGTTTTTCCAATAAGCTAGCCAATGCGTTCCCGGACCCTTTGAACTATCCAAATATATTATCCCACCTTTTCTCTTAAATGTTTACGTCGTAAAGTGTCACCATGAATACCCCTCTAAAGTTTGGAATAAATTTTGAATACTTCTTCAAGTCTACATCACTAAGAGGTCTTCTAGGTAGCTTCATTAAGAGTTTTTTTGGTATGGTTTTAAATATATTCTGATCCCTTTTTATAAAGCTTTAAGAATATGCCTTTTCCCATTGAAATCGCTTCCATTGTATTATTATGACGTTTCGCCTCCAATAACTGTTCCTTTCCAGTTTTTAAGCATTGATTGTTTTAATAATTCCTGCTGTACCGCCAGATAGACTTCCAAGTGCTCTTAATGCTGCGAATAAAGGCGCTAATGAGAGAACTCCTCCACGTAATACGTTAAATATTAAAAATGTTGACTTGAGATTTAATACAGTAAACAAAGCGTAGCTCATTATTACCAAACTCAGTTCGAGCTCTTGCTCTTTGACCATCAAACTGTGGGAAATAAATATTATGATTATACCCATTGAAAGTCCAAATGGTTTAAAATTTAAAAACATCTATTTATATTCGAAATCTTTATATCAATCAAAATATGTGTAAATACTTAAAACATCTAATAAACCCTATTAAGGAGATCAACATTTCAACATTTTCAAATAATGATGATTTGCTATCACCAGATAATGCAAAAGCAAATTCTATATTTATATTTGATGATATAGCTTGCGAGAAATAAAATCATGTTCGATCCAATTTTTGAATGGGTCGCCATAAAGAGATTGACTGCTTTTATTTATGTCAGACTTAAAGCTGGGTTATCCAAGACTTAAGACTTGACTTGGCTTACCTAGAAACTTAGACGCGATTACTCAGCGTGTCACCTATTACCTATTACCTTTTCTTTTTGTTTTGATTTTTAGCAATTGTATATGCTCAAGTAAAAATGTAAACGTTTAATTTGTTTTTACATCAAAATTGCTAAAAAATTAATATTAAAATAAATGTATTTACGAGTTTAATATTGTGATTGTTTTTATTTCATTTTCTGTCTTTATTTGAAAGTTTGTTTTTCGATTGCCAGACGAATTATGTACATTTATAAAAAAAAATTGTATTTGTGTGGCATATTTGTAGAGATTTTATGAAAAAAGGAAATGGCAGCATGATTCTCTCACGGTTCTCTTTGCACTTAGAAATTGTAACGAAGCGTTTTTGTTGCCCCGATACTTCTTCTACAATGCTGGGGTATACTCGCCGTGTCTAGGGTTCGTTACAATAAATTTGTAGCTTCGGGGCTCTGGTGAATCGTACTTTATTAGATTATTCCCTTACTTACTATCAAACATATAACAAAATAACAATTGGAAATATTCGGTAGCGTATACATACGTACATATGTACGTATATCCATTTGGTTATACGTACACCTGTGGTCAAAGATTTAGCACCAAAATTCAAAGTTATATGTTTTACAACATATGTTTATTTATTTATTTTTACTAATTTTCTTTTAAAATATAATTCAATCTACAACAGAAACAGCATAAATAAAAGTTTCAAATCAAAAAGTAATCAAACTTTTTTAGTGTAATAAAATGCAAGTTTCAAATAGCTAAAGAATACCGTTTATTTTTTAGAATTTCTTTTGTGGAGGTTGTTGCGAATTTTCTTCCATATAACGCATGATCAAAATTTATTTTTTTCGAAAAAATTTAATTATATTTTAAATGAAAATTATTAAAAATAAAAAAAAAGTAATCATAAGTTGTAAAAAATATAATGTTGAATTTTGGTGCTGAATCCTTTACCAGTGCTTTATGTATGTATATATGCAAGTATTTGTTAAGGAACTTCAGACAATTCTTTGTATTATTATATGTGTTTACAAGGAATCAAAAACTTCTGATTCGTCTTTTTCATCCAGTTCGGTTGAATACATGTTTCTACTATTGAAAAGAGTGATCATTTCAGTGGTTGGCTGAAAGTTTTGGCAACAAATATTAAGAACTTTAAAGTGAATATCAATGCGCATTAACGCTTCTAACAATTCCATTTTTATTTTGTTTCTTAATTTTGGTTTTGTGGCATTCATAACAGAAAATACGCGTTCAACGCATGCATTACTTGTTGGAATTATAAGAATGTTTACAATAGCTTGCGCGATATCTTCAAAAAAATTTATTTCCAGATGCATCCTCAAATTTAAAAACTTCCATCCAAAAATCAATAACATTGTTTGGTATATTGTTGTTAAAATGTTCGTTCCAGTTTATGAACGCCAACTTGATCCATTGATTTTCGTAAGTGTTCCGTGATACATTCGGGTCAAAAAAGTCGTATAAAATGTCTTTAATAATAACAAATTTTTCTTAACTTACAGCGTTGGGTAAACTGAAATAGACGAAACTTAGAAAATCTCGACATGTTTTCGGGTAATCGTTTAGAAATTCCTGTTAATAACCCTCGAATGTAATTAAAGCACGAACCTTTTAGAATATATTCACTTTCAGAAGACATTTGTACTCTTCTATACTCGTTCGTGAATTCAACACCAAAATCTATGCAATCAAGCGGTAAAAATGACAGATCATTATCCAACGCTTTCTTGACTTTACACAACAAAGTAGGGCTTAGTTTAGATTTTACTAAAAATTCTGGTTTTAAAATTTTTCTAGAAAATGACAGAAAAGTTAACTCAATGGCTGCGTTTCTTTATACATTCCAGATAATCTCATTTCACAGCCGGAATAAACAGAATGTGTTTGAAATATACGTTAACATATCATCAGGAACGATCTAAAGAATAAGTAAACAAAAAAGTTTATTCCAATCGTTCAGAATGAATAAAGAAATTCAGCCAATATCAGAATATGCACTTCCTACGTCCACTTTGTCATTTTGAAATGTCAAATTTAGCCTGTTCATTTTATCAAGAAATGGTTTTAAAAATAATAAAAATAAACGATTTTTCTCGTCCGAAAATTCTTTGTAAATATGTTTTGCGGTAAGTTCATCTTCATTAGTGGAAATTATAGAAAAAGGAAATTTTAATTCTATCCACTGTTCTAAAACCCTCTTAACAGCCTGGCCGTAAGAAAGCCATCGCGTTCCTGATAACAACACTAATTTACGAAATCGAATTGTGTCGACACCACAATTTGTTAAATCAAAGGCACGTTTGTATTTAATGGCACGCAGAGGGCTGTTACTAAAGTAATTGTATAATTCTTTTAT